AGAGAGAGAGAGAGAGAGAGAGAAAGAGAGAGAAAGAAATACGAGTTACAATACAAAATATAAAACGAATGAAGTTTGAAAATAGAATTTTATTAGCTACAGTAGCAAAATACCTATTCACTTAAATATTTGGTTTCACACAATTACCAGGCTAAGTTCGTTTATATTAATATACAATATGTAAAGTGTGCCATATCGGATATGGGCAGTGTCCGTAGTAGTACGAAGTGAACTTAACTTTTCATACAAGATTTACGAGATATATATAAATATACATGTAATATTTATAATAATTTTTCATATATATATATTATTATTTTACATGCTAGAGAAACAATACGCTAGACACTTGTTTGAATAAAGTTATGAAAATAAAACTTATGGCGTTACACGAATTCGTCGTAATAGAAGAAAGCGGTTGACGGCAGGTTAAAAAGGCGGGGCAGTGAATACGAGTATCAAACGACATTCTCGACGAGAAGAACGAATAAGAAAAGCCGTAGGATCGCGAGTAAGAGCAAAAAAAAAAAAAAATATATAAAAGAACGAAAAGAGATATTAAAAAAAAAAAAAAAAAAAGGAAACGAAAAAGATGGCAGCATTAAAATAAGGACAAGATATTTGCGGCGGAATTTAAAAAAAGAGGGGGAGGGAAGGGGTACGAGGGAGAGAAAAAAAAAAAATTCTCTGGTTTCTCTTCATCTCGAAATTTTCACCGCGAGATCGTCTATTCGTCGTGGGCTATCCTTTCCTTCCAAACTCGATTCCTTTCTACGATGTTACGGCGATACGGACGATTGTCGCCGTTTTAAAAGAAACAAGGAAGAGAGAAAAAAAAAAAGGGAGAAGGAAAAGAGGGCAGTGAAAAGATAAATGGAAAAAAAACCCGGGGAAAAAAGAAAAGTGGGGAAGAATAGACACGCGGGTTTACATGAATTTACGCGTTCTTTATACACACTTGGCAGCGACTTATTTTGGATCTGAGATTGCCCGCTTTCAAGGTCTGTTGCTCAGGCGCTTGGAACTGTTGTCTGTCCTCGATAGTGGCCATCCAGAAACTGATCTCGTTCATGTAATAATGGCACTGTCCTTTGTTACCATTGCACTCGATGAACGGCGTCGCACGGAAGTCTTCGAGACAGGATCCGGAACTGGACAAGGATTGTCCTCCGCCCTGGGCACCAGCGCCCGTGTGCTGCAAAAAATCATCCAACGTTTTTTTTTTTCCCATACTCGTCTCACTTTCTTCACCAGGACGATGAAAATTTTTACGAGAAATAATATCCGTACCATGAGAAAACTGTATCCGATCCAAAGACCAGTCCATCCTTGTGGACAATCTGGAATATTCAACGATTGACTGTGTACGGCCAACACATTTGCCGGAACCTCGCACACCACGCATCTATATGAGACGAAAAAGAAAATTTAATCTTGGAATTACTTTTGTCCGAATTTGTCGAACGATAGTAATTGGTTGATTCGAAAGATGAAATTTATCAAATTTATATAATTTATATTTATACTTATATCGTTTATAACGATATCCTCTCAAGCGGTGGAAGGAATTAAATTATTAACAGCAACGTTAAATGAACAATTCGGTTTTCAACCTATTCTCGTATATATTTTCACGTATACGTTTCATATACGTTTGTAAACTTTACAACAAAATGAAACGTTGCATTGTCGTGCATTCGTTGGAATTGTATCTAATTTGCACGTCAGAATAAAATTTCGTTTCGAAATTTAGTTTGACGTAATAATTACTTGGAATCGAATGATAATAAGTTAATTTAACGCGTTGATAAGATAAATTAAATATGGAACACGCGAGTACACAGTTCTTACGGTTATAAAATAATTAGCAAAGATTTTTTTCTAATAAAAACATACCTGGAGATGTATTGTTCTATCTCCGATTCCTGGACAGGCATCATGGGAATTGGACTAGTGGTGGATAACCAATAAGAACGATCGCCCCGGTTACCGTAGTGGCAGACGTTGTTTATATCGCAAAAGAGGAACGGCATCGTCGAGAACTTTCGTACGCACGAACCGGCATAACCTGTTTCACGATTAGATAAGATCAGATAAGAGAAGAGAGGGAGGGAGGGAACTCGTGGCGCGCGCAAGGATCGGAATATTACGAAACGCGTGACGATTTCGGAACTAGATCGTAAGGTGGAAAAAAACTTAGGACCTCTAGATATCTAGCGCGAGATAAAGATTTTGGACTTGCCTAAATCTTGCGAGTGCGCCCTTTCATCGCCATCCGTGAACAGCAAACTGTATCCTTCCCAAAGTTTGATGTGCCCCGCGTCGCAAACAGGCACTAACTGACTT